TTGTATTTGCACTCCTTTTGTCCATTATTCTTACTGAAAATGTTAGATTACATCTGACTGAAGATTGGCCCCATTTATTTGTGACGTTGCAAACTCTGCGGTACAAGGCACAAGTGATGTGAAGCTCATAAAGCGAGACAAATAGAAATAATCAGCTGATGGAGTGTAGATATAGATGTAGGAAATAGATGCATCCCATCAGCTGACTGTGTTTTTCGCCACACTTTATAAGCCTGACTATAACCACCCCTTCTCTGAGGTGCAGGCAGCGTCACAAACAAATGATGGTCCTGATAGACTACAAAAATATTCGGTGTGCAGATCTTTGTTTTCACAATAAAAGTAGTTTCTTAGTGAATGTCCTGTCCTGGTCTTAAAATCTCGAAAAAATCAGCTTTTAATTTTCCTCTTGGATGTTCTTCTTGACCCTCAGATGCCCCTTTCACACCAACGCGTTTACAGCTCCGGCTCGGATCCGGTTCACTTCCAGCTCTCCTGCCCCCGCCTCTCTTATGTCGAGGCGGGGGCAGGGGCAGGGGCATGGGCGGGATCAACCTCCTGAACAACAACAAAATGCCTGCGTTTTATCTAGTTTGTACACAACGATGGAAAACCTCAAACTGAATAGTCTTGCATTTCGCATGTGATGTTTGTAAAGTTCCAAGTAAAGTCGTCCCTTGTAAAGTCGTCCGATGCCTTCCATTTCGTTTCGTAGGAGGATAACCAAAGCGAACAGCGCTTCAATACAATCAGCCATTGTTGTTGTGGTCGATGTGAGGGATTTCCGCGCGGTTTGGATTTTATGAAGCAGGCACGTAAACGGTGACATCATGGCGCAGCAGCGGCAGCTCTGGACGGTGTGAACAGAGCGGGAGCAGAAAAGGGAAACCGGAGCTGAACCAGAAAAGTTCCCGCTCGGAGCTAGAAAGGGAAAAGCGCTGGTGTGAAAGCCGCATGAGAAAATGTTGAGTCGTGTCTTTCAGGCATGTCCTTTCCTAACAAAAATGACAGGAAACATAAAACATATTATTGCAGAACAAGTGTGTTATTTATGAAAGCGGTGTGTTTGTGTGTTTAGGGGCTGTTGATATAATTATAACACACTTGTTCTGCAATAATATGTTTTATGTTTCCTGTCATTTTTGTTNCTAATTCCTTTTCTTTATGGCGGGACCGGGAACACCATGGGTGTTACAAAGTTGACTAAATCATCCAAAATTCAATGAAAGTGGTGATCAGCAATTTTACATGTTCAAATGTCTACTGTGAGGGATATCATAAAGCCTTAATGCAATCGAATGTAAAACAAAAAAGTTATGATTGATGAAAGTAGTAAATCGGTCAGATTTGACCCGAAGACAACAGGAGGGTTAAATAACTTTAAAAAGTGTTAGATTTGATGTATTTTTAACTTAATGTTTTATTATCTACTGGTGGTAAATTTTTCAGCAATCTACTGCAAAAACTGCCACCTCAAAACAGCTAGAAGTTGTTTTCTGGTAACTATTGTTACCATAAGCTTCATAAAAAAACACAAACAAAATTGAGTTCCTTATAAACAGGTTTCTGTTGTTTCCAAAATAAAAATAACTCAAAATCCAAAGACATAACCAACCAATATTTATGTTTCTTCAACACAATAATCAATATCATTCATCAAGTCTTCACCTCATAAATATAAACAGCAACATCAGGGGTACAGTGTGTGAAAGTCATATATTTGGGATAAAAAGCAGAGTCCCACTTTATCAGCACACTTCAAACAACATGCATATAGTAGTCAAAGTTCAAAGAGGTAAGGAAACAGGTTCATTTCAGTGGATTAAACAGGCACGAACATCCCAACCATACACGTTATGGTTGATTTAAGGCATTCAGGGTCTGTGAGCACACAAGGTTTGAGAACACTTTCAACATATAACATCAGAAAAACCAAACAATCAATATTGCAATAAGTGGAAATGTTTTTCGGGTTTCTAAGAATGGATTGTTGGCGGGCGTCCTTAACAGGCACTGTACTCTCAATACTGTGAGATTGAGTCCAGCTCATGACTTGTCACATGGTATTTGTACATCTAATATGTGTTCTTTACTTATAGAAATAGAAATGTAAGACGGATACCCGCAGAAACAACAGAAATGACCAGGCACATTTTGACAAGCTCTTGTTGTGATGAGGGGAATATGTTCTCCATTTAACAACAAATTGAATAGCCAGTGTTCAAAGAACAAACACACACACCAATGAAAATACACACAAAAACATGTGCAATAGATATACAATAATCTGAGGCATCATTTAAATAAATACAAGTATGTGAACAGAATTAAAATAATACTTAAGACAGACTGAAACTTCAACATGAATATATATTACATTTCAAGAAAATACCTTCAGAGAAGGCACAGTATGCGCCCCGTATCTTGTCTGTCCTTATAATAGGTTTAAACAGTTCTCCGGGAAAATAAAGGCACTACAAAACAAACAAAATGTGGAGATTTCAGAACTGCAGAGTCTCAGAAGTAAAAACTATTCTCACTGGAGGACACATTTGTCTTTGCTGTTGTATTTTTGCCTCCTTGCCTCCAGACCGCGCTCCAGACGCTCATCTTCCTCTAATGCCCTGCAAACACAGATAACAATATAATGCATATGACATTCACTCTTAATGTCTGCACCCTGACCTGTGTCAATGAAGTGATTGTAAATAAGGAATGAAAAAAGTACAAATGCCTGAACCACAATGATCTTATGTTTTACACGTCAGCATTACAAGCATTAAGCTGAAGGCTTTATTTGAAATACACAGTATAAAGAGGTATCTTTTCTTTAAAGAATTTGTTATCTGCTTGCGATTTCCTTTTTGACATTTCTATACAACTATCCGTCCACACACACTCACCCTCTCTCCTTGGCGTCGATGTCTCTGATGATCTCGTCCCGCTGGTTGACCAAAGACACGAGCTCCTGGAGGAGCAGCTGCTCCCTCTGCTGCTGAGAGGACGACTTCTGCCAGTCTGCGGGACACATGTACAATAAGGAAAGGCAGCAGATTGGATAGCTACTTGGTGAACAGTGTTGGAATTTAACTAACGGCAGTTATTAACTTAAAGTGGACCTATCATGCTATATTTGAAATAGATATTGTAGGGCCATACCTATATAAAACATGTCTGTGAAGTTTTTTTATCAAAATACCAAACAGACCACCCATTGTAGCCATGCCTCATACTGCTCAAACCCCTCTTTTGCAGCCCTGTTAGAAAAACGCGGATCTTGGGTCCTTAGCTTGAAAAAAAAAAAAAAAGAGGAGGCGGAGCTACTGCCTGATCAGAATTCTACCGGAGATAAAGTTACATTTGGTTGTGATAAAACGCCATCCTGTTCCAAACCACGTCAAGGATTATTTCTGAAACAGTTTGGAGCTCAAATGCTTTTTCTCTTGCAGGTTTATCACAAGGTGAGTTCTTTTTTTATTTCCTGCTTTTTAAAACACATGCTCTTCAGTACAGGTTAGCTCTGAGTGGTAGCGAGGCTTGCTAATGTAAACAAAGACGAGATTACGTCCAAAATACGTCAGGCACTGTTTCTGATAGCAACTTTCTGTGGGTCCGTCGACGTCAGCTCGGATGGAATCTGTATCCGCTCGTTGTACACCCGTTTTTAAAAGATTTCGGTACGGAGAAAAAGAGAGAGGGTTTTATTTTCTGACGCACCGGGGACACATATTTATGTATAAAAGACATCACAAAGTGCATTTGCATTGATAGGTCCCCTTTAACTTGTCTATTAGTCACACATTTGTACTGTTTATAATGAGCTTTCATTCTTTACCTTCATTACTTTATTTTACCTGTACATCACTTTGAATGCACTCATATGTATAAAATGTGATGATTTCTGTATTTTGCTACTTTATTTTTCTACTCCACTACATTTAAGAGGAAATATCGGTACAATAAACCTATTTCATACAAAACACATCTTACTAAATACCACTAATAAGCTCCACCTTCAATACCTTCACACAATTGTAATGTCTAATTTGAACTGTGGTATCTCTGCTTTTACTCTTTCTGCCACCCCTGTGACTGACCTTCTATAGCCATCATGACCCGGAGTTCCCTGTTCAGCAGCTCAAACTTCCTCTCCAGATCCTGCTCCTCTTGTCTGGGGACACAGTATATAATCAGACAAATTAAAAGAAGTGTGTGTAATGCATGTGTGTGTACTATTTGTGTATGAAAAAGCTCTTACAGAAGCTCCAGGTTGTCCTGTCTGCGTATCAGAGCGTTCTTCTTGTTCACCAGAGTGAACCACTCCTGGATCAGTCTCTCTTCTTCATCACGGTCGCTTCCTGTGTAAGCAGAGAAACAAGGGGCCGTTTGTATACAACGTAATGTGTTATTGCATAAAACCTAGATCAAGTACTCCCTACACTTTTGTGTCTGTGTGCCTTACCTGTTTCCATGAGGCTTCGCAGTCGTCTCTCCACCACAGCGGCTCTGCTGTCGATGTGTTTCTGCTCCGTTTCCAACGCTGCCAGCTCGCTCACCACATACTGACTGGTGTCCTGCAGACACTGACCACAAGCCCAATTTCACACACACACACAATCACACATGAACATACACATGACAAAGACATCCAGGAAGAGTGGAAAAAGAAAGAGGGAATCGTGGAAACAAGAAAAAAAGGTAGAAGAAAAAGGTCCAAAGATTAGAGAGCGACAAAAAAAGATGAAATTTAAATAAACAAATTTTATACAAGTGAAAACACATATGCTTCTCTGTTTCTTGCAACCATCAGTCATGCTAATGATTTGATATGAGGTGCAGTCAAAGACAAAGAAAAAAGGAAGTGGAACAGAGAAAAAGTGAGTGAGGAAAACATAACTGACCATTTTTTCCTCTTCTTGTTTGGGAGGCTGGGTCTCAGCTGTGCTCTGCATCCCTGCAGCAGAAAATAGGACGTTTAAACAATATTTAAAATGTCAGATTATTGTCACTGAAAGGCTGATGTTGCAGGTACCCACCTTTGTTATAAGTGAATCCAGTAGTTGTTTCTTCATCCTGAAAAACACATTTTTTAAATCCGGTTTTTAGAGTATGAAAATAGAGATTTAACATTTAACATAAAAGTTGGAAACAATAAAAAGATGGAAAAAACCTGAGAGTTACCTGAGTCTGTCCAAATCTGACTACTTTGGAACGTGGGGGTGGGACTGGTGAGATCGAATCGTCCCCTAAAACCAGATAAGAACTACTATCAGAAGTTGGGTTCTTAAAGCAGATTATTCAACAGAATTCCTGAAGACTTCATATATTACGATGAGACACATTTTGATTCAATGGATTTGATCAACCCGGTGCATGATGAGTATTCTGAACACAACAATCCAAATGTTTCTTAAATCTCAATCTCTACATGTATGGCAGCCATTTCATTCCAGCGTCTGTTGTTTCCAACACAGAGAAATGTTGTCGTTGTCGTAGTTTATAGAATATGATAAAACATTTTCTTTTTACTCAAACACATACCTATAAATAGTAAAAAAACAGAGAAACTGATAATTATGCAGTGGGCTCTTAACTGTTATAATTGTGGCATATGTTGTGTTTATGTAGGACGTGTTCAATCACATTGTACATCATATATTCTGTATCTTTGGGAACCTGGTGAGAATCTTAATTGAGGTGCTGTAAACTTGATTTAATGATTTGTTTTTCCTCCTCCTGGTCCTTTTAGTTCAAACTCTGCTACTTCACATTCCTAAGATCCCTGGAGACAAGCCAGAGTTTCTCCTTCCCCTTCTCTGTTTTTCTTTTATTTCTTTTTCTTCACATCTCCATGGATTCCAGCATGACCTACTGTATGTACAAGGAAATAACTCTGAGTATGTACAGCAGGGCTATTCAATTGGCGGCAAATCCGGCCCTGGGGTGATATTTACTGGCCCTTGGAATACAATGTTAAAAAGTAATCTACTTTTCTTTTTTTTAAAAGATTTTAGTTTGGGCCAGAGTGCCTTTATTCCAGAGAGGGTGTTACATTGAGAGATAGAGGGGAAGACATTGCCTGAAAACTTCGGCGGGCTCGGGTTTCGAACCCACCTACTAGCTACTGTAGTGACAACCCCTGTCATTTATTGCATCTCTGCGTCAATGATTAGATCATTTCACCTAAATTAAATCAAATGAAAGGATGTTGATGGTTAAATTAGCTTCACATGTAAGCCTACTGAGTTCTGAACTTGCCATTTAGATCTATAAAGCCCTGATGTACAGGAACATCAAGTGAGAGGAGCATGAGATATTGGCATTTAGGATGGAGGCAGAGGAGAAATGTTGAAAAAAGCAGCTGAAGACACATCTTTTTAAATTGGCTTTTTATTAGCAAAATCCCTTTTTAATTGGCTCCTTTAATCTTCATTATTTTTAGATTGTTTTATTTATTCATTTATTGTATAGGTTTTTAATTATAGTATATATTTTATAATTGTATTAGTGACATCCTCTTTTAAATTGGTCTTTACATTTGTATTATTCTCTATTCATCTAGTCGTGTTATGTCTTCCTTTATCTTACCGAGAGGGATCATTGATTGTTTTGATTTTCTTTTTATTACCATACCGATTTTAACTCCTTTGTCCCTTGAACTGTTACATTATTTTGTTATAGTGCATGTGTGCAAAAAGGTTAGACCTGAAGGAAATATATTTTTCACTGGTTTAATTTGTGATGTGTGCCATGATGTCAAAGCACTTTGAGCTTTATTATTATTATTATAAAATGAATGGTTGAAGTATAAGAAAGTTGTTTAAAGGGGGGAAGATGTTGGTACCTTTACCCAGTCTTTTCGTCCTCGGTGGTGGGACCACCAAGGTGCTGCTGCCTCCCTCCTCGAGGCTCACTCCTTCGTTGAGTCGGGCCATGCAGAAAGCGGCCGCGTCCACATCCGTCGGACCGGGGCCGGAGAGGGCGAGGCCGTAGCTGGACTGGCTGCTGTTGTGCTCGATCTGCAGCACGCTCAGCTCCTGGTTGGTGAAGTGTGATCGGATCTGGCTGAGGTAGGTCATGACGATGAGCCGGTCGGGGACGGACAACAGAACCATGTCGGACGGCTCCAGCAGGCGAGAGATGCCCAGAGCCTCGAAACCATCAAAGGCCTGATGTTGTCAGAAGAGAAAGACATCATCGGCAAAGAAACAAAGAGAAATATCTCTTTGGTAGATTGTAACAACTTGTGAATGATGGAACCTAAGAAAAGAAAATTGATTAACAACATCTTTACCTTTTTGTTGTTGATCTTGATGTCATGAGGGTACAACTGGTCAAATTGTCTGATGAGGAAAGAAGTAGGTACAAATATAATGCAAATGTACACACATTTCAATTGATTAAGGCCTAAAACTCAACATATTTTCATCAAAACATGTCTACATTTCTTTCTTGGCTGAAACAACACTCCACAAAATAAAAAGGTTACTTGAATATAACTTACAATTTATAAAGTATTTTATATTTGTTTTAGAAGTAGGTTGTTCTATTACAGTGTTTTCTAACTTATTCTGTATATTTGACATTGTGTATTCTATTCAATACTTCTATGTACCTTTCTACTGTTGATACAGTATATATACGTATATATTGTTTATGCATATTATATTTTTTTAACCTCAGTATATCTTATCTTATTCTTAAATTCACAATTATATAATTTGGAAAAGGAAGGAGATATTGACAGTCGAACATGTTGAGGTAGGTATGGAGCTGTTTGTGTTAACATGCCCATCTTAGCTCTAAAGCTGAGAAACGTGTTATGTTTCTTGTATTTCGTACATTTTGTCAGGATGGAAGTGGTGTAGGATAGCACAGAAGGCCATTCCATTTCTCCAGGACGTGCTGAAGTTGGTGACCTTTATCCCGCGGTAACCTTTGGTGATGTCCTGACACCACTGCAGCAGAGATTGGGTGGAGGTCACCAGGCCCTGTAGCAGGAGGAGAGTTCATCAGAATCAGAAATCCTTTATTTGTCCCGCAACTTGGACATTTGCATTATAACAACAGCAGAAGTATAGTGCAGATAAAGTAAAGAAAATAGACTTACATATTCAAAAATTCAAAAAGAACTAAGTATGAACACGTTATTGATAATAAAAAACACAAGTAAAAAAAACAAGTAGCAGATAAATACTCCATGGTAAAAAAAAAAGAGAAAGTTTCAATATATCTTTTTTTGAAAGTGACCATATCAAATTAAAGAGGTAGCTGGTACTGCTTATAGATTGTAAAAAAATTGAAAGAAAAATAAAGTGTGAATTGCATGAGGGTATATTGCAAAAAGTTTGATATTTATTGCACATCAGGGGTATTGAAATATGTGTGTGTGGTGGTTTACCATTGGTTGTGGTGGTTATACAGTCTGATTGAAAACATTTTCAATCAGAGTGTGTGTGTGTTTCTCTGTGGTGTAAATACAATCCATTTTGCGTATCTTTACCTCAGCTACATCGTCCTTCCCGTCAGCCTCCTCTCTGACCAGTGGAGAAGGCTGAGGGGGCTTAATGTCAGAGGTTTCTTCTTCTGCTAACGTAGGCAGTCGGGATGATGTCATCTCATGAGCAGGAGCAATGCGTGTGTCAAGATGTGATGATGTTTTCTTCTTTCCACCATCAGGGAGGTCAGCCTGTTGTCCTTTTTGCCTAAGATGAGATAGAAATAAATAATTTAAATGAGCAGGGAGACAGACTTTGGTTGGTGGAACAATGGCGATCGTCCAAGCAACGATTTGTAGAGGTGAGTGAGAGACATGCAAGGTTACTGGCAGGACGGATGGTAGCAGTGACTTGATGTTAGACAGCATGACAGGGGACATATCCTTTAAGATAATAGGAAGATAAACATGCTTCCCTCAACACAGGTCTATGCTGTTAGGAAATGTCTTTATCACCTTTATAACAAAGCATAACACACTTGTGCATGTCATTGACTGTATTTAGATCTATGTGGTGCCTGGGCTTTAAATATTCAGTTGAACACATCAAACAGAGCAGCAGTTCTTGAAACTAAACATGCACTCAGGTGCCAACAAACACATATTACCAGATTAAAAAAAAACACCTCCATACTCAAGATTGATCAAATGAAAATGTTAAAGAGAAATCCATAGCCAAAAGCAAGACTCGATTTCCCTTTAGTGCAACTTTGAGGTAACATGAGGAACATTTGTGGTTGTGTGTGAAATGGCTCAAACACTCAATACATTTACTTGTAATATTCAGCAGCCTTAATGAATCATTACTTTGGTTAATTTCTTAATATCTTCAACAGACTCAGCTGTTCCTTTTGTTTAGTTCTAATTAGCATGCTAACAGGCTAAAGTAGCATGGCAAACATGTGACACAACTTTATTCAAGCATTGTCATTTAGCATGTTAATATGTTAAAGTTAGCATTCAGCTTGAATGTGGGACTAATAAAGGTATTCTGATTCTGATTCTGGAGGACTGCTGTGTACAGCCTTATAGACCTGCTAGCTTAGCTCCAAGGCTAGCTAAAGGCTTATTGTTATCTTACTTTTTTAATCCTGGGAATTTATTTTGAATTGTGTCAAATATTTATTTTGTCAGTTTTCAAGTCAAGATCATTTTTGTGAGTTCACAGTCTTAAATCCATCTCTAGTCTTCTAATCTGCATGCATGCGCACATTTAAACACAGAGCTTCAGTGGTTTTCTTTTCTAGAGCAGCAGATGCTGACTTACACATCCTCCACGCCTTCTTGATTTTTCCCCAACTCAAGGGATTGTGGCTCTTCTTCCTCAGTTAGAGATATTTCCTTCATGGTATTACCACCATGCCTCAAGTCACTACTGTGAGCAACAAGCTCTGATGTTTCAAAGTCAATCTCCCGGGGGTCTGGGATGAGGAGCTTCATAGTGCGAGGGCCAGGGACAGGGGATGTGTCACCTGTCATCAGATGGATCTTAGCCAATAACAGCCTCTCCTCCTCTTGAAGCTGTTGGTTTTTGGTGATATGGTCAGGGTCAGAAGTGTGTGTATGTGTGTGAGGCCATTCAAATTGTGCACTTGTTGAGGTGTCTTTGTCGGTGTTTGAACTGGGGTGGCTTATGTCTTTATCATCCTTCACTTTTTTGGCCATTTTTGTGTCATCATTTATTTTATTTATGTGTATTTCTGTGTTTGACTGTATGCTGGCACGGTTTATGCTAGGAGGATTTGGCAAAGGCACTGAAGACAATTGATCAAGTGCTTCCTCCTTACTGGCAGCTTGGCCAGTTTTTGTGATAACATCATGTTTCTGTTCTTTTATTGGCTGCAGCGTTTGTTTTCCAATACATTGTGGAGCAGGTTTGGCTTCAGTTTCCGGACTGATTTCTTTCTCCTGCTTAAACCCAGCTGGAGGTTGAGGTTGAGGATGGTCTGCCAGACTGATTTTGGAGAGTTCAGGTTTCTTTGGTTGACTGACGAGAGAGTTTTGGTTAAGGGTCTGTCCACTGGATGGGAGTGAGGACGGCGTCTGGGACAGGGGGCCTGGGCTGAAGACAGAGAAGGAGATTTCAGAGCTGAACCTAAAGGCTGAAGATTTTGAAAAAAAAGCGGACGAGCAACAGATTCTTGTCATGCTCCATTCCCCTCTGGCGACAAACCACCATTCATGTGACACAGCCAGAGCTCCATTTTGTTAATCTCACACAGGGTCAGAGGACATTCAAGCATTAAAGTCGTTTAGAAAAGACACAGTTAGTTGTCGCCATACTCTAAACCAATTTAGAGTAAACTGCAAGTAGAACATTGTATTCCTTCAGGGAGGACATTTGTTTTTTACTTGGCTAATAATGGAAAAGTTGGATGCTTAAAAAAATATGTGACTCAACCAATTCCAAAGAACAATTCATAACAGAGGGTAACGAGGGTTAGTAAGCAGACATTTGTGGCAAAACCACAATAACTTCCTGTTGTAAAACACCAGCAGTTTCTCTGTCTCTTTCATCTGACATTATATTTGCCCTGAAAAGATTTTTCCTTTCAAGTCATAACCGAGGCAACATGTGAAGAAGATATCCTAGTCACAAACAAGTTGGTAATTATGTTGTGTGGGGGGCACAAATAGTACATGACTCACATGCCAACACGCAACTCTTTCTTGAGAAGGCAGGAAAACACCAAACCCTCAGTAAAGTTAGGATAATGATGCTTGGTAATTATTATTACCCTGGAGATATGGTGAGTCAAGGCCTCTGTTATTGGAGGAAGCTTCATCACACACACACACACACACACACACACACACACACACACACACACACACACACACACACACACACACACACACACAGGCACAGGCACAGTCCTCTGATCCACAGGAGGCAACAGGCTGCTTCCCCTAAATAGCCGTTAGCTATTTCCCGGTTACGTCCCTCCCTGTCTGGTCTCCCCCTTACTCACCCTGCTCTCCCTTCCATGTACATCTCAGCCATCCAGACAGAGCCAAGATCATCCTGTCCTCTCTCATACTCCACCTCATCTTCCTCCTCCTCCTCCTCCTCTCTCAACCACACTGGGATGGCACCAGACTTTAGGTTATCTTTTTTCACTGATCTCAGACCAGGATTATCCAGGGTTTTCTTAACAGCAATTACAGAGTCCTTCTGTTGGACTGATCTCGACTCCAGTGTGCTTGTTGTTTTGTCTGCAGGGACAGAATCAGCAGGTGTCTTCGGAACCAGTTTGACTTCAGTATTTGTTTTCACTTCTTTGGGATCCGACTTGCTTTCTGATTGCTCTTCGTCACATTGACGTTTCTCATCAATTGCAATATCATCCAACTCTGCTTCTCTCAGAGGAGGCCAGTCATCTGATTGGCTGTCGGTGACTTCCTGCAGTGACGTAGAACCAGAGGTCATCTCTTTTTTCTGTTGTGGTTTCTCTCCTCTGCTATCCCTTTCTCTCTGCCTGACCCGAGCCTCCTCATCCTTTCTCTTCCTTTCCTCATTTTCTTTCCTTTCTTCCTCAATGTGCTGCTTCCTTTCTCTCTCTGCCTTTTCCTTCTCCTCTCTTTGCTTTGTTGCTAGCTCTTCCTTCTCCTTCTCCAACCTCTGTCTTTCCTCCTCCTTTTCCCTCATTTTCCTTTCTTTCTCCATCTCTTTTCTCTCTTTCTCCAACCTCAGTCTCTCCTCCTTTTCCTTATCCTCCCTTTGTTTTTTTGCTAGCACTTCTTTCTCCTTCTCCATTCTCTGTCTCTCCTCCATTTCCTTCTCATCCCTTTGCTTTTTCTCCAGCTCCTCCTTTTTCAGCTTCTTTCTCTCCTCCTCCTTTTCCCTCTCAATCCTTTCTTTTCTCTCCCTTTCCATCCTCTGTTCCTCCTCATGTTGTTTCCTTTCTTCCTCAATCTGTTGCTTCCTTTCTCTCTCCTCCTTTTCCCTCATAATTCTTTCTCTCTCCATCTCCTTTCTCTCCTTTTCCAACCTCTGTCTCTCCTCCTCCTTTTCCCTCTCAATCCTTTCTTTTCTCTCCCTTTCCATCCTCTGTTCCTCCTCATGTTGTTTCCTTTCTCTCTCCTCCTTTTCCTTCTCCTCCTTTAGCTTTTTCTCCAGCTCTTCCCTTTTCAGCTTATTTCTCTCCTCCTCTTTTTCCATCTCTTTTCTCTCCTTCTCTAGCCTCTGTCTCTCC